TTTTTAAGTTCAAGTCATTCAATTTTAAATAACAATACATGTAAAACAACCGATTCTAATTATTTTTCGAAAAAGGAATATACCTACTCATAGACAAAACTTTCTTCTTTCTTTCTTTCTTTTTTTTTCTTCTTTCTTTCTTTCTTCATTCACGTTAACCTCTTCTGTCATTTAACCAACATTATATAGATTTTACATAACACAGACAACAATTAGTTCCATATTAGATTGGCCGAGAAACACATAGTAAGTTGAATGGTCATGTATCTATTTACTGGACACTGCAGACAATTCATTGTGCAAATAGTTGCGATATATAAAAAAACTTACTTATTTAGAGTTTATTTGGCCCAAATAATGCAAAATTTTTCATCAAATATTTGCGTTGCGTATCATATAGTGATAATTTGCTTATTAGTAATCAAATTAATTGTTTCTCGGTACGCTAGCAAGAAAACCAACAACATTAGAATTTGACTACTTGTTACGAGAAGTAAGTTCCTTAAGAATCAACCTTATGGATATAAGATTAAGGTCTGCAATTGTTCCTGACTTAAATCGTACTACGTGACTTAAATACGTTTAGAATCAAATGGTACTAATTCTAATAGGTAGCATTAGTTTCGATATTACAGTAGAAAATATCCAACGTACCGATTATTTTGTTATTGTATATGACTACAGGTTTCGAGTCAATAACGGTAAGAATACGGCCTGCAAAATGTTTATGGGAATATTTTAGATTAAAAGCTTAGAAATTTAAATTACGGAGCATTGTAAGAAATAACTTTACTGTTATTTAATATAGCTTGTATAATACTGTATACAAAATGAGTGCGGAATATTCTTCATGTAACTACCTACTACCTATTTTATAAAAACGAACGAGGCTACCAGTAGTCAAACCAAATATCTCTACTGGACTTCCCGCTACATATTTCCGTCTTTGCCCACGAAATCGCTCAGGTAGTTTGCAGAAAAGCGAGTAGGACATTGACTCGGACTTTACAACGTGCAATATAACAGTTAAGACACCGTTCCAAATACTAAAAAAAAAAATGTTTTTGATAAAATCTTAAATTTCTTTTAAAATTGGAAAACATTTCGTTAACCAATGAGTTCATAAAATAACCAATCTCATTGTACGGTCAGCAAGAAAAAAGATGAACACTAACAATTGTACAAATGATCTTTATTTGAAAACACGTTAATAAGAATAGGTATTTTTGTAACCTTTCGAGGATAAGGCTATATGTTTACATGTTATACTTGTAAATATATGAAGTGTTTGAGCTATGCCGAACTGAAATATGGATAATATTAAGCTACTTTTGTTGCCGACTGTACATAAAATGTTTTTGTCACGCAAGAAGGTTTGATATTCGCTCGTGTTCTTTCTTAATATCTTCGTTGTTATTAAATATAGTGTTGAACAATAGTAATGAGCATTTTTAACCGATTCAAATATCGCGTGGAGAGGGCTATACACAGATTACCCCCTAATAGATTCCGCACACAGGGCCACAAAGTCGCCCAACACATACTTGCTGTAGCTAGCATCCGACGTGACGCTAAGAATCATGACATTAATAACGACCAAGTTTGTGACCAGTACGCACGTCCGACTTCTTGACAATTTAAAATAGTTTTATTTCAAAATATATAAGAAATGGCTTCCTGTACAGTGAAATGGTTCGGCAAGTCAGCTAAGACATCCAGTTATCAAAAAGATAGCATAACATTTCATCGGTAAGTAAATTATATTCTTATCGCGTTAACCTATTTCAAATGCACCGGAGTTCAACTTATACTGGTAAAAGTAATAAATTAAGCACCCGTTGATGTCTTTTTGAAATGTCCCTTTCACTCATTACGTGAATTACAATAGTTTTCTTTGTCTAATAACTGCACGAGTATCGATAGTGTTGTGATTTATAAGTCGATATTAAATATCGACTAAAATATAATTAAATATGTTGTTTGGTGATCCTTGGATTTTTTTAATTGAAGTTATTGTTTCGTAGTTTTTTTTTTAAAAATAGTGTGATAAGCTCAAGACGAAGTGTCTTGAGCATGACACACTATATTTTACAGAAGACATCTACCGTAGAAGGCTGTTGGAAGAAAAGGAAGAGAGATCCCAAGGATTCTGTGTGTAACCTTTTCGTGATTTTTACATGGAAACATTCAGAAAATTATTTTTTTCTGTATAACCTACGTTCTTTTACTATGGTTTTGATTTCTCAGTATATTTGTCGTGAATATTAATATAATTAGAGATCTTGAACATCTTTGAACAGATCTAAATCTGAATTGCAATTCTTAATTTTTAAATAAAAATCCTAATCTAAAAGACCAAGATTTTATCAAACTGATACCATTCAGCCAAGTTATAAAAACAGGGGATTGATAAGTAAAAAAAATCTCATCTTTAGGGTAGTATTTTTATCATTTCTTTGAGCAACTTTGTGCAAACATATTCTAATGAGTTATTAGATATTTGTACTTCATCATCAGCCTACTGCCGTCCACTTCTGACCGAAGGATTTATACTAAATGTATATCCATTTACACGTAGGCAGCTTATAAGTGCAACATAATTTAACTGGACTTGTATGATTTATCACGTAATTTTAGCATGTATTAAAAAAGTACAACTCACAGGCTTTTAAGAAATATTTTAAAACTATAATATTTACCACAAAAATTTTAATGTACAGTGAAAGTGAATGTTTTTATCTACAAAAGAAGATACTCAAATTTTACTTAAACTAGAATTTTTTAAATGTTTTTGTTCACCTGTAAAGTGTTGATTTTTACTTGTAATTCCTTTTCACAGGAGGCACAGAAATATATTTGTACATTGTTTTATTTTTTAATACATATTAAATAAACATTGATCAACATAATTATTTATCAATAATCAATCAACCAAAAATAAAATAAATATCAAGAATTGAGATTATTATTATTATTATTTCATATTATATATTCAGAACTATTTTGTCCATCAAAGTCCCAACCCTGTCTCATCACTATGTTTCGGAACATTCTAAGTTTGACCTTAAAATATCCAATCACAGCGCATGTGACACGTCCCCCGCAATCTCGAATCGGAACAAATACTCAATAATCCAGAATCTATTAGGGGGTAATATCTAATCTCTTTCTGTACTACATGAGGTTAACACAAGTGAGACCAGTTCAAAACTTCGGTAGTTTCGATACTTTTTATTGAATGTCAAAATGGTACGTTTTTATATATCATACATACAGACACTCGCACCACCATGCCTGGCTGGGGTAAGCAGAGCCGTGTAAACTCCCACACATGAGCGTTCTACATAAATTGGTACGAAATACTTTGGACTTCATACCTACTTTTCGTAAATAATTTTCTTTTAATGTCTATTCTTTCACTTCTAATCAATTACAAACATATCATACATAATTAATAACGTATCATTTTGTCAGACACTCATTTACAAGTTAATTATATAGAGACAATGAAATAATCGTATTGGTGAACCCCCCGCATGTACTCCCTAAGGGGTCCATGGACACTCACTACTACACTAACTACAATCCATTTCATATTTGGGAATTAAAATCTAGTTTTGTAAACAATACAAATTAGCCGCTTTATCACTTTTAGGCAATCTCTTACATTTGCAAAGATTTTATTGAGGGGGTTTGCGCACAGAAAGAAAGGTCGGGTCCAAGTGAGTGTCCATGGACCCCCATGCCCGTAGAGGGTCCACGTGGGATGTTCAAGTGGAAAGAACCATTGTATTTATATAGAGTTCTTGGATGATTAAACTATACATGTCGCGTATTTAGATAACAATGTCTAGTGCATTATTTCAATTATGTGACGTGTGAATTTCAAGCTTTTTCATATAAACTTATATACGTTTGCGACATCGACCATACTCTTGGCCAACTTATAGAAATGTATAATATTGTATCATTGCATATTCAAGTATATACATACATTAATAATGTGTCCTGTATTTATTTAGTACGAGAGAGTTAAATAGAATCCAGGCGTAAGTGAAAACATTAATAATCCTAAATATACACAAATTGGTTCATTATTAATTCATAAATCCTTTTGGAGTTTACTCTTTAAGAATCGAATTTCATATAAGGCGCGCTAAGGTTAGAAAAAATATGAAGAGTAAAATTTAGTGATCGAATGACCTCGTTACGTATTTTTGCGCAACCTATTGTGCGCACCTTTATCACATGTTTGTGTATAACTTGTATACTTATGTGCAGCCGAATCGTTCTTAACGAGTAAACTCCAGTCGTGCGTCGGAGCTGACACACTTTTTTTGCATTATTTTCAATGATACACATTTTGATATTAAAACAGAAAATTGGTAACCCGTAAATAATAATTTCAGGGTTCTCCTAAATTATTTTAACAACAAAAAATTAATGGCCGAGGTTTAAAAATGTCTTACAAATAGACCTTAGTGATCCAATATCATTTTATGTCCTATCAGATAACTGTAGCGTATCAAGGCCTGCGTCAGTAAAAAAACAAATAAACACGTTACAACGTGCTTTTAATCTCGATCGACTTTTACATTAAATTATTACTAGAAGCGACACAAAACACAAACGAATTCAAAAACTTGAACGAAAAAATAAAAAACAAATAAATCTACAATGAAAACTTACCATTCATATTCAAAATTGGTAAACAACTGACTTAAACGCGACATTCATTATCCGTATCTTTACAATTAAATATAAAAATTTCAAACGAATACGCATTTGTTCAAAATGTACCATAAAATAAACTTATGTAATACACAAATACTCAAAATTGTGCCTGAAAATGACTAAAATAATTGAAATAATACAATTAGGATACTCTTACGAAAGGAATGTAGAAACATTTTATTTTACAACTAACAATAAATACGGGTAACAAATATCGCGCCATTAATAAAAACTTAAAGCGAAAACAACCGAACTTACAAACATACTCAGGTATCATAGTCTTCGTCTATCTGTAGATTGCCAGAGTTCAAACTATCTATGTCCACTGGGACAGCCACGACAGGCTTAATTTCAATTTTCTTAATATCCGGTTTTGGCGGCTTCGAATTTTGCCTATGAAATTGTCTTATCGAATTTTTTTCATTCTTAGGTACGCTCACAATGTTGACCGAGGCCGTATCTAGTAACTTTATTTCTGGGTTTGTTAAATTCTTTGTAAAATCTATGTTTAGGATGGGTGTGACTGGCGTTCTCGGTGTTGGGGTGAGAGGTGTTCTGGGAGCCGGGGTCGTAGTCATTCTTGGGCCTGGAGAGATAGGTATCCTAGGCACTGCGTTCACCGGTGTTCGGGTTGTTACTAAGGGGTTTTCAACAAAAAATGGCTTTGGCACTGGTTCTAGTTTAAGAGGTTCTTGGGTATAACTTGTTGAAGGTTGAGGACTTGTGTAAGTAGGATTCACAGTTATAACACTTCGATGTTGCACTTCGTCAGTTAATAAAGTTTCTTGGTAAAAATTAGCGGTAACCACCGGTTTAGAGTCTACAGACTTTTTCGATAAGTCTATGGCAACGTCTGCTGCAGGCGATGTTACGGTTTCTGTTCTGATGGGTTTTTGTGGGAGTTCCGGTTCGGTTGTGAGCGGTATTTTAAGGTGTTCTCTGATAACGGCTGGTGGTTGAGGTAATGGTACTACTTTGATGTCACTACTGCTCGAGCTGTTCGAGTCTTCCCTCGCTATCCTTCTAGGTGGTACTGTCATGTCTGAAAATCTGTAAAATAAGGTTTGATTATAATTTTGACTTTATGACGTTCATATACGGTGTAAAAAATATATCGTCAATATGCATTCATTATCGCGAATGTGAATATAAGTTACTTAACAAGGAGAGTCAATAAACCCATTTACTTCTAATTTACATGTTACTACTTGTTTAATTATTGTTTAAAACTACTAAAATTATAATAATACTACGACATTTTGTTGCCAACACAATAAAGTGTTAATTATGTTGTCTACCTCTATAAATAGTAAGTAAGTCTTTAATGTTCCACTGCTGTATATAGGCCTCTCCTTAGAAAGGAGGTTTTGGCCTACTATACCACGCTGGCCAGACGGGTTGGTATAGAGTTGATTTCAAGTTTTTCTGCTTTTATTGCACCATGTCAAAAAGTTGTCAAATTTTCACATTCGCGATAATGAATACCGATCAACAATTTTGTATACTCTATGTTAGAAATTGACGGATTCTTTTAGTAAGGTGCTCAGGGTCGCTAAGAGAGTCAGGAGGTGGGCACTAGAGCACTACCTGTATGTATTCACGTGATCGCTTTACGTGTGGAATAGACAAAATGGGTAAATTAAAGTATTGTATCGTAAATATTGACACCTGATATTGGTGTGCGGAGTAGGTAGAACTTTATTGCGTCGTGGCGAGAGTTGCTATTTTAAAACCCATGGTATACGTGCACTACTTATGATGTGATGCTTTTCGGTTGGTTATAATATCGCCAGAACCGCAATGGGGTAGTGGATGTAAGGTTGAGTAATTATGGTTGACTCCAGTGTTCGGTTAAAAGCAAACGTTAAGTTATTTGAGAAGAATTACGTTCACGGCACTCAAACTGAGTAACAGTCTTGCTGCTCAGTCTTTCTACCTCTGTAATTAGTAACAGCCTTTAATATTCCACTGCTGTACATAGGCCTCTCTTTAGAAATGAGGTTTTGGACTACTATACCACGCAGGACAGACGGCTTGGTATAGGGTTTGTGGTTAAGTGTGGTTTACCTTGAAGAATTTGGTGAACTCTCAGCACTCATCATTTCTTTCTCCTCTGCCGCCGACACATCAGGTATATTCTTGACCTGGAAATGATATAAGAAGCTATTTAGTATTTTGATAACCTATACTTGATTACATCGCATCAGTAATACAACCATTCGTACTCGCTAAATATTTGAGATAAGAAATCTACCTGCCCAACCTCTTTCACCTACCGTTCCCTATTTCATTTCATACATAGAAGGGGCTCGTGGCTAAGCGGTAACCGAGTAGTTTATCACATTGCAAAGTTAAGCAGTCCTAGATGGATCAGTCTATGGATGGATGACCATTCTGAATTCACTGAGACCCCTCTGTGCCTCGGAGAGCACGTTAAGCCGTCGCCACCGGTTGTCATTCGAACATCTGTGGCAATTGTTACGGGTATTTGGAGCCTTAAAAAGTCCGACAATAGTCATTCTACAGTACTTCGAGTAGTAATTAGTACTAACGTTGTGGAGGCCTGGTGGCAGTCGTTTCGCGCAAAATTCGGAGTTCAGCCGTATCGTAGTAGACTTAAAGACGACACCAACCTTTTTGTTGACGGGGTGGAAAATCCCTTCGGATCTCCTGCTCCTCGGGGACTCAGGAGCCAGGAGTATGTGGTGATTCCACTAAAAACCACCCCGACGGCCGGCCTTAGGTGTCCTACTCTGGGGAGGAACCGGACAATGTTATTTCAGGTCCTCCCCGAATTGACACCATGCCTAATCAGGCCCTATCCCAGGGGAGAGCGCTTCCCCCTTCAATCGCGGCATGGCGGCCCGATCGCATCTTAATGCAATCAGGCCGGCCATTCCATTCCCTACCGCAGTAATCAATCTGCCACCAGAGGTCCCCACTCTCTGGCAGCCCGCGGAGGCGACGCCAACCTAGTTTGTTAAAAAGGCTCGGAGGAAAAAAAACACAGTTTTTATTTCAAATAAAAAGTGAGCTTTGATTTTATTTTATGCACAATATTTGCGTGCATTCTTTCCATAATCCGTCACGACCATAACTACGAGCATTTGTAAATCAGCAAGAATTTACTTATAATTATATTAGTGTTATTATTTTGCAATTAATTAGCTTATTACACAATGTATTTAAATTAGCCTGTTAAATCTACCTACCAGCAATGACTTTCAGAATGCTATCGTTGTTGTTTCGCAGACTGCAGTAAAGAAGTTCTTTTTAAACACTCTTTTATTAGCTTCACCTGTGTGTATGTTTGCAACAGAACCTTTAAACTTTTTAAAAATTTGCATAGGACCCATTACAATATATTAAACTATTAAGTTTGTGCTATTATATCCTTATAAGGATCTTCAGGGTGTACGAGTTTTGACATATCTAAAAATACGGTACTGCCTTGTACTAAGGCGTGTACTGAAGCATATGTCACTAACTTACTTGATACATTTTTAGACTATGAGAAAATAATCATCACTCAAGACTAAAAGAGAAAAAGATTTATAATAGCTCCAAAAAGCTAAAAAACACGCGTTTGTATTAGCCGAACTAAAAAGCAGAAAAGAAAAGAAAAGTAGAGCGATTAAGAAAAACATTATTTTATCGTAAAAAAGCGTGGGGTAAACTATTATTTATTTCGAATTTTATTAGACGCTACATTCTAAAAGCATTGTTCTACTGGAGACGTTGGATTTCGTAGAATCACTGCATACCTATACTTCACCCACAAGCCGTTCAAGATCAATTTATTTTTTAATTGATATAATACACCATTGAATCCCATAGTGGACCCAGGCATCTACATAAATGAAAACTGACTTTGGGGGTCAACGAGATCTAAAAATCGACCCCCACTAATTAACACAAGCTCTTTTTTTAAACTTTCAAAATATTGTATTAGTTGTGTTACGTGTACCAACTTTGTATAATAATGACTAATATTTTGGTAGGAAGTATCATTCTTAAATACTTTTAAAATCTCAACAAGTCGATAAGCTCTGAGGTATCAGTTCATTTTAGAAAAGGGGTCATAATAGACTGGGAATTCCTGTTATAAACAATTCCATAACATTTCTTCCGCAGCATCCATCCTCATTATATAAAACTTACCAAATCCCTCAAGAAGTCAAACTTGGACTCGGCCAGGATGCACTGTTTCACGTGGGAAGGGCTCAGGGTCTTTGCATTTCTTGCCACTGTTACTTGCATTGCTTTCCGTAGTAATGACTCTACAAAGAGTTCCAGAGTGCGAGGTGTTGTGGTGAAGAGTGCTGAGTTAAGGTAATAAACAAATGAAATTGGGAAATGAGAAAATGCATATTAGACGCACATATACCACTGTCCAGGTGTCGCTGAAAATCAGCGCTGTATTGTAGTGGTGCAGTATTATGGTCACCAACATCTCCTTTTAATGAACACTGCGACGCAATTGTACAGCAAATATCTTATGTACCTATATACTGTTTTTTGTGTTATGTGTAAGAATATAAATAGAAATGTATATAAATTGTTACAATTTTAATTTATAAATATGTTAATTATTACATTTTAAATAAATAAATTACTGTGTTTAATATTACAATATATTCTAATTCTGTACGTGTTACAATACTATATATGTTCCGATTCTATTCAGTAATATTTTGATTGTGTTGTAATGTCATTAAAATAAAACTTTTCTTTCTTTCTATCCTATAAATATTACTTCAAGTAAATACTTAAGAAGGTTAGATCGTTTAGGTTCAGAATGTCCAATTCCCAAAATGTCCAAAGGTTGCAAAAAATCCATTTCCCAGAATTTCCATCTCCGAAAGATTCCAATTTCAGCCAATCTATACAAATAAATAAAATTGGAGTGTCTGTTTGTAATATTAAAATAACCGCTTTTTAATAAATGCATTTGTATGTTTACACGGTACATATGCCAAAATAACATTATTTACAATTTTAATCCGGGTAATCTCTGGAACGGCTGGATCGTTTTCGACCGGACTTTCACTGGCAGATAGCTGATGACAGCTGGATCGATTTCGACGGGACTTTCACTGGCAGATAGCTGATGACATAAGGAGTAACTTAGGCTACTTTTTTAAGACTAGCTTCGCCCCGCGGCGTTGCCCGCGGTTATAACAACAAACGCGGATAACACCGCGGGTCTCAGCTAGTGTCAAATAAAAAAGAAGCTATCGGTCAGGATGGCTGGTATAATTAACAATTAACAATATAATTGTAAATTGGATTTTATAAAACGATTTTTGTGAAACGAAAAAGTTTATTATGTCTATCACCGCCATAGTGAATATAGAATACTAAGTTTCACTTCTACTGCGTCAGACACACAATTCATTTTATTGTCGTTGCTGATTTTCAAATTTGCAATTCACAAAATCTTAACGCATTAATAACGTTAAATTTGGATATTCTTTATTATATTATGTTCACAGCATTCGATTTATTTCCTTAGTTTTGTTTGACTAGTTTTCCTCCTAGTAATAAATAATTATATATGGTTAGTGAAGTGATAAAAAATGAATAGACTTGAGTTTATTACCAATCAAAAAGGGTCAAAGGGGAAAAAAATATATATTCAAGTTAATAAATGCCTCCTTACAAAGATGGTTTTGATGTAGAAAATGGTTCAACCATACAAAAATTGTCACACATCATCACATCAACAGCCTTTAATAGTCCACTGCTAAACATATTTATATGTATTCGAAACTATGAACAGACCGCTTTACATGTTTTGAAATTGTTTTTATTTCGTAAATGCTATTTATTTACTAATACTTAAGGTTCTTATTGCAAAATTTATAACAATTAACTATTCCACAAAAAGTATATAATAATTAGAAATATTTGGTTAGAGAAATAATTATGAGTACGATAAAAATCAATGCAATAATAATAATAATAGCAGGAGGATTGAACTAAAGTCGTACCCATTGTAACTACCACTGGTGTAGACCCGAAGACTCTTGAAGATAGCTACAACACACTGGAAATGCCAAAATTCACCCTCACACTCATACAAAAATCTTTCGTCATACATGCCGTCTCACACATAAATTTCTCGCTTCATCCTCATCCCAAATTTTGGCTACGGCCCGTATGCTAGATTTCGCTACCTCTTTAAAGTGAAATGAAGACCGAATAAGGTAAATATAAAAATAATATTCTATCACGTTCACACAATGCCATCTATTCCCAAACTAGACTTTCTGACTAGGGTACTAGATAACTGATATAATTACTTATTATACACTTTTTTGTAAAGACATACATATTATAAATAGAAATACCAAGACCAAATCAAACATTAAATGATCATGCACGCTAATGTTTGATTTGAACGCGAATCAAACCCGTAATAATTAAATAACTTATGCAAATTAATGTACTTAACCTTAAAAAAGTATTTTGTATTTTAATGTATTTATTAAAAACAATACTCTATTTGAATTAAGAAAATAATATAGCATTATAAATTTATTTTGTTTTAACTAGTCTGTGTTTCACAAAAGGAATAAATTTTCCCCCATTTTTGCAACATTTTTCATTGATACTCGGCTTCTATTGTTGTTTGAGTGATTTTATATAGCCAATGGACTTGCTCGATAAAGGTATTATCCAAAGACTTTCAATTTGAACCAGTAGTTCCTGAGATTAGCACGTTTAACCAAACAAAGAAACTGATAATATTAGTATATATATACTCGTATAGCACAGCTCAGCACAGCAGTCGAGCTCTTCAACCCCTAGATTAACAAACCCAACAAAATCGCACTGGCTAACTGCGATTACTGAAAATTATTTATAAGTATAAATAAATTTCAGTAAAATAAAATTAGCCACGTAAATTGGCTGTTTAATGTTGGTGCTCTTAAAACAAATACAGATGTTTTATTTTTAGAACATTACTTCCTATATGATACATATATTTATAATAGCACATTATAGCATTTTAATTCAATTACTTATTTTCTATCATATGAACACTCCCACAAACATATAAACTGTTGTTGTCGGACACATCCTCTCTGATAAAATTGACTACCTACTGTGTACCTACCTCAAATAATTACTTTAATTGAAAAAATATTAAGGAGCAAACTACGCAGGACACAGCACTGCAAAGAAAAGAAAAACTTGACACAAACCCTTTACCAACTCCTTTACAGCCAGCGTGGTATAGTAGGCCAAAACCTCCTTTCTAAAGAGAGACCTATATTCAGCAGTGGATTATTAAAGGAGGTTGATGTGATAGGGCAAACGAGCCGTGCCCACGTACAGCGGAAGTCATTTAACATCTGGTGACCCGAGTGCTCGTTTGCTCTATCTGCATCTCAAGATACCCAAATGCTTCTCAGCCTTTTAAGTGCCCTAAGAGTTTTTCTAGTCCAGAACCCTAACCTGCGATCTCTGAGGTTCTAGTCAAATGGTCAACTGCCATGCCACATTTCTTTACGTGATATTACTCTTTTGATTTATTTATTTAATACGAGCAATAAGTAAATAAATTACAGAAAAACAATTTCTACGGCGCAGTTTATACTTGGGGTATTTCTAACCATTGCGTGGCTCATAGATAAGCATAATAGGTACATATATTAAATGGTGTTAATACTAAATGAGATGATTAATTTATATGTTAGTGATGAAACACATAAATGTAATGTTGTAATAAATAGAAATAACGATTGAATGAGTGAGAATGAAAATGAGTCGTTCGTGTTAGATGTTTATAATAGAAGTTTCAAGCTATAAATATTGGACTTTAATATTAATATCGGCAGACTCTTAAAGCCTGTTAAAGGCTGTGGATGATGCGTGTATCGATGTAAGTATCTACCAGGGGTTCCAGGATTTCTTTCTTAGGTTATATCCAAGCCCCCAACCGAGTACTCGATAAGGTGGGATATGTTAAAAAGAGATTAGTTGCAAACACTAACCCTAAACTACTACGCCATTTGTATTTTTGTATTCGGTGTAAGGAAAAAAATATTATCGTAGATCGAAATAAGACATGATATAAAAAAATATAGCTAAAATATCTACAAGAAAGGTGCAACTTCTTTTTATGGTGAGTATCGAAAAAGTCTATCTAACCCAATTTTTGTGCACCCGTGCCTCCTTGTTATACGGCAACGAATTCTAAAAACGTATGTTATGTCTACACAGATCCAAAACTATCTTCCTTTTACAACTTTAGTGTATCAATCATAATATTCATGACGTGACGTGACCGTCTACAGTTAGCGGTTAAAGCACACATTAATACATAGTCTAATACAGGCTATTCTTGTTCAGATGACTAACTCTCGATACATCTTTGTACCACCGGACAGTTTATGATTCAAGTTGTTATCGCCAACATTGGCATGTATAAAATGAGCTTGAACACTGATGTCATATCAGAAAACAATGTATGATTAATGATTTTATAAGGACTTGCAGAATCAGATCCCGAAAGGTTTAATAATGACTCTGATACAGAAGCAATGTCTGCAAAGGCAGCGCTTGAACAAGCCGCTTCAAGGTAGCATCTCATTTCCTTAAGTATGCTTATTAGGCGACAAATTTTGCACACGAGTTTTTATTTCATTTTTGTACAAGTACTTTACCCGTTATGGATTAGAGAATTTTCCTTCAATGTTTTACTCGCGCATCTCGTAACAGAGGTTTGCATCCCGGTTTGGGCAAACACAAAAGTAAACCATATGCAGGTAAATTATCAATTGCAGACTGTAAATATTTAAACAAATGTTGTGCAAAAAATTTGAAAAAAATATTAAAAATAACTGGAACCCCTATGTATTGTTAGTAAAAAGAATAACGTCGATTATAGATTTCGTAGTGCACTAGTACTATAATACAATTTGATTAGGTATTATAATACAATTGGATTCAACACCTCCGCATCTTTTACCTTTAAATTTAGGCATGGTTAAACAATAGGCATGATTGTTACAAATTATTCCTCAAATAGCTAATTAATTTAATACTAATACTGTTTCGAGAACTGAACCCTTGTTGAGACCCTTCACAAACCACAGAAACGGGATCCAAGAAATTGGAAATTAAAGAGTGAATTTTCAGTTAAATAGGAATTACAGATGATAGACGAGACAACTTAAATAAAAATAGACGAGCAACTAAATACTGATTAATCTCACCTATGTTTTTACTAGTCTCTCGTAAGCCACGATCATTAATGAAGGAGATTCACGACTCGTCATGGGATGTTGGTGGCAAAGCTACGTTACTGTTCGTCAAGTCGAGTCAGGTAAGACCAGGGATCAGATAGGATCATTACAATTAGAATTATTTTTCGCAAAGAAGAGATTTTAAGAGGTTTGATATATCCGCGTTCGTTGCTGAATTACAAGGAAATAGATATGAAAATTTTCCCTGTAAGTAGAAGCAAATATTTACTATTCCGTTTTTAGTGTTAAAAGAAATAATACGTAATAAAATATTTATGAGATGAAATATTTTCTAATCTCGTTTAAGCAATAGATAACTTACGGTTATCGGAGATTGGTGATATTTCTTTTGTTTGAAAGAAATCTAGTTCTGCCCTCATCTTGTAGTCATATTATTAAACTAGCCATCCGCCCCGGCTTCGCGCGGGTGCAATGTAGACACTATTAATGTGGGGTCAGTGTGGAGTAATTAATTATACTATTATTATTATAGGACTATACTACAGGACATCTTTATATGCAATATTTATAGACCCGCTAAAATCTCGCCGGCCGCTACCACCCGCGATGGACGTACGGCCCGAAGCGGCGACAGCCGCTTTGACCCCGCATTTTAAACCTTTAATACCTTCTAAAATATTTATTTTAATGATATGCTGTAAAGAGCAATTTTAATCTACAATAAATGTAAAACGTATCTAATGTTTTAAATTGGATAAGGAATAATAATGTATTGTTTAAAATAGCTGCCTAAACCACAGATTATATCTTTGTAACATTTAAAAGATAAAAATGGTAACGGTACGTTATCCTTAGGAGATGGACTTATAACCATCGCACACTTTTTAGTAGATCTTTATAAGATATACAATTCTGTAGTGCATTATTTTGGTCTATCTCGTAAGGATTAGCCATCGTTTGCAATGTATGCGCGCAAAAACATGTTTTTAAGACAAATCTTAGAATTTTTTGGATATTCTCTACTATAATATGCATGTACTATACATATAAACCAATTGAATCACTCTCTTTATTGGTAAAAACTGGATTAAAATCCGTTGCTAGTTTAAAAGATCTAAGCGTACAACAAAAAAAGCGACTTTATTTAATACTTTGTAAAGAAGATATTCAACATTCAGGAAGAGTTCTGGTCAATAAACATATTCCTTACAGAGTTACATCCTAGCCTTTTTTTTTCGTGCGGAAATCCCCTCGGATACCACCTATCGGTGGCATATCGGACTCGAACCGATTAAAACCGCACGCCGTCTCGAGTACTAATAGAGTTACATCCTTTTTTTTTTTTTTTTTTACGTGTGGAAATCCCCTCGGACCGTCACCCCGCCGGGGCTCTCGTTCGGCGGGGCGGTGTGTCGGACTCGAACCGACTAAAACCACACGGTGTGCCCTCTTTGCGCTTCCAGTTTAGGAGGGGTCCAGGTAGCTATCTCCTTCTGGACCCCTCCCAGCGCCGGCCCGCTCCTTGTGCGGGCTCCGTCAATAGAGTTACATCCTACCCTGACGTTACGCTCCGCGCTCCTACGCTCGGTCAAGATAAAACTTGTCAAATTAGGTTGTACCCATCCCATCCTCGGAACGTCTCGTCTCTCGAGCAGAGAGATACGCATGCGTTGTGTTATGAATATCTATAGGTACCACAAAGCCAATGACTCTACAAAGCGATGGGACCAGAGTGAAACAAACTAAACCACACTGTTAGAAAGAGACAACTATACGCAATACGGCGATATCGTCCTCACTATTCCTGGATGACAACGAACCCGCCTTACTATCCAGGAATCAAGTGAAGGGCTGCTTGCTAGTCAGCATTATGGTTTGTACTGAATAGGGATTTGCTTTATCTAATTAAGATGGTTTATATTCGGCAATAGTATAATAGCCTGGATGATATTTATCCGTGGTAAGAGAATCTGAATCTGAGAAATATTAATATAGTCAGCAGAATATGTAAAACCTATAGTTCCTATATACATACCTATATATCGACGGGCCTGTTGGTTTAGTGGTTAGTGACCCTGACTGCTAAGCCGGAGGTCGTGGGTTCGATTGTCACCCAGGACAAATATTTGTGTTTTGAGCACGATCGTTTGTTCTGACTGGGTGTAATTTATATATAATATGTATGTATTTAGAAATATATAAGTATGTTTATCAGCAGTCTGGACACCATAGTACCGTGTGTGAGATATGTGAGGTTATTATTATTTGCTTTGATATTCAAAACAGTAATAACAAAATAATTTTATTAAAAGAATGCAAAATAGACAGCAGTAAATATAGTTGCTAAGGTTTCTGATCGAATATTGATCATTATGTAATGTAACCAAAGTTAGATGTTTTTTTTGTATTTGCATACAATCATGTTGAACGAATCAAATGATCTAGAACAAAAAAACAAAACAAAATTAATGTGATTTGATTACAAATGACATTAAAATAAGACCCAATATTTACTGTATAATATATTATTGACATTTTTGACCTCTTCAATTGAAAAAAAGTGTTGTCGAGAATCAAACCTCGATCATAGCGAACGGCGGCGCGGCGCAGGTGAAGGGGAGGCAAGGTGAAGCGGGGGCAATGGTTTCCACTACCATTGCGATTACATACATTCGCCTTATTTACTCGATCGGGATCACTGCCGTGTGCCGTGTGTTTTGTCGACATTACACACCAGCCCAAAATACAGACCGCTTTTTATTTTCCTAGCAACACTAAGACCTTTACAGTGCTTTGAAAAAGCCTGTAGCCTTCCTCGGTAAACGGGTGGCTATCCAACACTAAAAGATTTTGTTTATTCCTGGTATGAATAAACAAATTCCGTGTAGTGACGGATTACGAAACGGAGAGTCACCACCCCTATTCATCGCGTGAGTGTCGTAAGAGCCGACTAAGGGAACTAAATACGCAGGACAACAGCACTGCAAAGAGAAGGAAAGTTGACACAAAGCCTATACCAATCCGTTTGGGCATCATGGTACAGTAGGCCAAAACCTCTTTTCTAAAGAGTGGCCTATATCTAGCAGTGGATCATTCAAAGCTGTTGATGTGATGATGACGTGAGTAATTCCTGAGATAGGTGTGTTCAACCAAACAAACTCAGTTGGCTTTATAATATTAGTATAGATGATTTAAAAAAAAAACTAGTAGTAAATAAATTAACAGCACACTGGCTACTGACAGTGGCCATATAAACATATGGCTACTGTCAGTAGCCAGTGTAGGCAGGTCATGAAGGATATACATATTAGATCAGCAGTGTAGTGATTAAGGGCCTCGCTAGAAGCACCCATGAGGATGTATGAAAAGCTCGATGAATTTGGAAGAAGCGGAAGCTGTATGTCAAGATTTAAATGTCCCCCTATTGTCTATGCTAACGCCAGATGGCAATAAGGCATGTGTATATGCAGGTATGTATTTTAATAACCTAAACTATAAAAAAAAGGTATGTATATTAATTACCTAAACTATTTATAGTTTATTAATAGAATATAGGCATTAACTAGTAGGTTCTCCAGTTTACCAGTAACTGTTTATAAAAAACAGGCTTTTGAGGAAAAAACTTAACTAGCACTCACAAGGTATCACGTTAGAAGTCAGCAATGAAACTATGACATATATTTTGAAATTTTGACTTCACAAATACAATTTTCAATGGTATTTTCGTAGTACAACAGTAAAGTGAAACCATTTCAACTTTTGGTCACAATATGATATACACACATGACAGTCAACTTTGGATGTTTAATACATTACAAAAATACCTTTGTGAGATCAAGAGTAGATAGGAACTGAATTTTGACCGAGTTCTAATTGTAAGAATTAGCCTCCTGATTTTACTGTACATACGAAGAGACACAATACCTTTTATCTGTAACTGAAATCAACATACATACATAATTCATTGCTACTTATAAAGCAATACCTATAGAAATTATATCACTTTTGTCGATTCCAAATTCAAATACTATGCAGAAAGATATTCAGCACAACCTACCTAAAGTTTAATGGACTAACATTCATGAAAATCAAAATAAGTGTGATAAAATGATACAGTGTTACAGTCCTCTTAATTTTAATGTAGTGTTCATATTAATAATGTGTACAGTACCTTATTATTTTAAGACAAAATAAAAAAAGATGACCATAGATAAACAAATATATATATTGCATGGTAACTAGAACTTTGAAAATTTCCTTCAAAGTTGTTTGTTTATATGTATGGTATAACTGCAAGATAGCATATTCCAATAAGAATAAATAAGAATTAAGATTGATTCCTACTAGAGTTAGTGTTTGGATGAATTATTATGTAGCACTATAAATAACCTTTATCCAATTAACACTTGATCAAAGCATTTGGTCATAAAGCTCCAATAAAAGAAACAATTTGCAAATAAAAACTAGTTTCTGATTATATAAACCACCAAGAAGGTTATACGTACGACTTTTTGTCTCACTAAAAAAGTACCAGTTATCACTGCTGTAAATTATTATTTCAATCTAAATACCGAATTAATAATAATAATTGATGTTACGATCTTAGGTCGATGTAAATATATGTGTTATTGTCGCAAACTATAATCAAATTGACGGTATTATATGAAAAGGATATAGATTATGATTGGCACAGCCTGGGCAACTTTCCCCACTTCCTCGTCAGTCTGCATAATCTTCTTGATTCGCCCCTACAAACAAACAATGTCATGATATCACCAATCTCTCAAAATTATTGACGAAAACAAAACCAAATTTCTCTTTGTTCCGATTGTTTATAAAGGTTTTTAACTTACGGCTGGAAACCTTGCATTGTATTTTCTCTTCTTAGTAGGCATTATGGTAAGCCGTTCACTTTAACACCAAATAAATGATAAAATAAGCTCACTTCCCCATCAGAATGTTAATACTTCTCGCGCATTTTTGAGGTTATAAAAGAGGGACGTTCGCAGCCTACTTCATTTATATACGAATTTGACAGTTTCTCCACCATTTTTCATGCTCAATTTATGATATACCACGTAATCTACTAAATTATTAATTACCTAAAAACTTTAAAATGTAATTTAGTAAATATTTTCATTTCTAGATTTATAACTTTTAAAGTTTTATTTGATATTTTTAACATTTATTTTACAACATTTAATTTTAAAATATTCATACAAACAATACTAATTCTAGGCTAAATGATATATGAGCGAAAGTATTGCTACTTTTAAATCATAATCATTTAATGAAATTATTACTAATATTTGAATAGATTTGGTCATACACAAAGATAAATGCCATTAAAAACTTAAGCAACCCAAGCTTTTTATTGGTGTTTTTTTTTTAATTTAGAATTTTAGACCTTTCGCGAGTCTGGCGCCAGTGGAATCATGATCATCAGTGGTTTTTATAAATTACTCATTGGTGCGATCATATGATTTATAACAGGTGATAGTAATTTATTTTCATCCCCAGTGCTCATACTTATTTATTCTAGTAGTTTAAAATTATTGAAGTGATAACTTCTTATGTGAGGGTAAACCGCGAGGGTAACGCGTTACGGCGCCAGTCTGTCTTGTTTCCCTTTCTCTCACGCATATGGCAGCGGTAGGCAGGCTCCTCCTCTCTCACTATAACCCACAGCGCTAGCTGTATTTCGCACAGACGCTTTACATCAAATTTAATTAATAAACAATTTCAATATCAAATAGTTCAATTTGGATTAGTTTAAGTTATCACTTTTGTCGGGCGTCCCGAGACGCATATGTTTTTATTAATTTTAAACTACTGGAATGAATGAGTATAAATATTTTAATTTTAGTAATGTTAATAATAATGAGATTGAAATATTTACACTATTTACAAACAAACATCAAAAAACTCCTCCACATTATCACCTCCTGGTAGCGTTCCCAGAAGACTACAGAAACATTCTCTATATATATACTAGAGTACTATTTCAAATATATTTATTTATGATACTCTTTCTTTAAAAGTTATATTTTAAAAGAGCTCTTTTACTGTTAATTGCCAAGAGACATTTGTAAATTATGCCGACCTTTTTAGTAGTTTTTAGAAATATTTTTATCACTTTGCTCTGGTGTCAGAGCATAGATAGTCTGTGCCAACGATAGACAACAAACAAAGATACAATCGAAGTCTCAAATCAAATGTCAGTCGTTACTTATCAGAGTCAGTCATATTAAAATGGCGTCCTTATCGAGGTGCGTATATCTTATTTTGTGTATATATTTATCATAAATATAATATCCTTTTCATATGTGTGATTTAATATGAATTTTGAGAGTATTACATCGTCTTACGTTTAAATAATGTGTAAAAAATCCACAGAAACACCATCTCATAACGCTACTCGTGGTGATAAAACCATCAACGAGTTGTTAAAGCATAATTGCTACCAATACATAGTTAGTTACTTCAAAACTAACTTTATCTTACATCTATCGCAATCTAATATATTAATATGATTGAATCTTTGCATCTTTATATTGCTTTTTGATTTTTATCATTTTGTAAATGATGTTTTCAGCTTATTACCTGCGCCCACCCAGCAGGTATGGGATCGTGACGACGAGCGGAAATCTAAACGAGTCGGGAGTGCTCTAGTTGTTTCACAGACCAGTGTTCCACCTTATGGTCAGAGAAAAGGATGGATTCCAAGAACAGAGGAGGATTTTGGAGGTATGTCATGGTCATAAAGTTTATCGTTTCACAGGAATATCAGGTGACCCGTCTGCTAGTTTGCCCCTTATACCATAGCAAAAAAAAAGAATATCTGAAACAGTAGAGAAATATTTCATGACTATCCTGTAAGTAGGAATTTGATAGTGATAAAGTTAGCATAGGATAGTGAGAAAGTTGGATAATGTACAGGCTAAAATTTTCGATAGTTTTCATCAACAAGCCTATAATTTGGCATCGATTTTAGCCTAGTTGGGTCTTTGTTCTAGTGGAGTAGCAAATCACAAGACAAACATACTGTTGTAAAAAACTTGGCCTCTTTGAGTTGATGCTGTCCTGTTTTAGTCCTAAACTTATGGTATCTTTTTATCCTATCTGAAAACAATTAAATTCCTAAAGAGGGTTGGGGGTCAGGCAGGAGGCTGGCCATACAAGAAACTTACCAAGGCCAAAGGAAGATCATTACATTGCTTTAAACTTTCCGTTTGACCTCTTTTGCCATGCCAATGGCAAATTTGGCAGAGAAACTAATGAACTACTAAATAATTAATTGTGCCATAAGCCACAAATTAATTCTGAAAATGTAAAATCAACCGCAATCCAAGAAACCCCCCAAAATCAGTTTACAAGCTAGCTTGAAATGAAATTGGCATGCAAAAATAGGCCCATTTACAGATAGCCAAAGCGATCCCGTTTGATTTTAGAGCATATGTTGTACTGCTCAGATGAAACAGTTGAGATATGAGGCAAAACAAAATGTGTTCACCCTAAATAGTGGGCTGTATTGTTGGTGGTTAATTAGTGGCAAATTATGAGCCTAGGTAGAGTTGTCTAGGACAAACCTAACCAATATTACCGTTTTTGTAGTATAGATAATACCTTATATTACATGTGGTTTGAAAAGTAATATCTATAATGTGGATTATACTGATAATTGTTTTAGATGGTGGTGCCTTCCCGGAGATACATGTTGCCCAGTACCCCCTGGGTATGGGGGCGAGAGGAAAGGAGAGCACATCCAATGCACTTGCAGTCCAACTGGATGAGTCGGGGAGAGTTAAATACTCTGCTATAGCAAGACAAGGGCACAGCGCCGATAAGGTGAGAGCACTTTTAAAGACTATGTTGTTGTTGTTATTAAATGGGGAACTTTGGTAATAACTTTATATTACTTTAAAATGGGTAGCAATAAACAAGAGGACCTGCAGGATTATGGTTCGACATGCACTTGTTCGGTTTCTTTGTATTTGCCTATTGTAGCTTGAACTTGTACTTTTACATAATGTAATGTTGCTCCTAATAATAACAGCTTAAGCTGAAATTATTTACTGTAACAACTTATTAAAAATACTTGTTAGACAGTAAATTATTAGTTTCTTAATCTTGACGTCATATTAAAAAAAGTGTTTTTCTTTTTCAGATAATTTATTCCAAACTAACAGATCTACTACCGTCAGAGGTATTAGCAGAAGATGATCCTTCACTACAGAAGCCAGATGAGGAGGATATACAAGATATTACAGAAAAAACTAAACAGGCACTGGAAAAGTTGACCAATGCTAAAATATCTGCTGCATTGCCCGTAAAAGCTGCTCCAAAAGCTGTAAGTTGAAGCAACTTATGATAATAATGGTGATGATGGTTTGATCTCTAAGACAACTCAAATCTACTTTTAACTTCTTTGTGACTAGTAGTGTAATTTCTTGTGCTTTTTAAAGCTATCCCCCTAATCTGATCAGAGTGCAGATTGGTGACCTCACGAGCCTAGGAACCGCACTGCATTATTAAAAAAAAATGATTACATCAGTATTTTGTTAATAATTTCAAAAAATTAACTAAGTAATTGACTGTAAACACAGGTGTGCCTCATATAATCTAAATTATGGAAATGAACCACATCTTTTATTTAGTATGTTTCTCCATTTCCATTGTTGATGAAATATATTACCTTTACCAACCCATTTAGACAGTAGGGCCTCCTTTCTAAGGAGAGGCCTATGTCCAGCAGTGGACTATTAAAGGTTGTTGATGATAATGATGGTGATGAAATTGTACTAGTACAAACTTCTCATTCAAATGGGAAGAACACACTATTATCAATTGCGCTGATAGTATAAAACTTTCACAGGCACCTGCTCAATATATCAGATACACACCAGCGCAGCAAGGAGGTGCATTCAACTCCGGAGCTAAGCAAAGAGTAATCAGGTAAGATTAGAGACATGCTTTGTTATATTTGATTAAAATCTTCCCAAATAAAATTGCAATTACGAAAAAAATAAAATAACCACAGTTATACTCGATTTCTAACTCAATTTTTATCTGTACTTACATTGTACTGACTTAATAATCTCCACTGCCTGAATAGGTTGAACTATCATTACCCTAATTACTGAGAAATAAAAACATATTCTTTTAGTTTTAAAATAACAAGAACTAAGAGTCATGTATAATTTTCATCCATACAAAGTGCAATTACAGGATTTACATTTTAATTATTTTTTTTCACAAACGTAATATTTAATTTTCAAAAAAAGAATCATAATAAGACTTCTTGTCTGTTGTAGTAAAATCATATTATTTGTTTATAGAATGGTGGAAGCCCAGGTGGATCCAATGGAACCCCCACGTTTCCAGATAAACAAAAAAATCCCCCGAGCAGCTCCTTCGCCTCCCGCACCGGTACTACATTCGCCGCCGAGACGTGTTTCAGTGAAACAACAAAGAGACTGGAAAGTACCACCGTGTGTTTCTCACTGGAAAAATGCTAAAGGTAAAATAAAAAAAAATACAAAAGATGTTGCCATCTCATAGTTGTTCAACTCACAGTCTTCAACTAAGAAATTATTGCCCCGTGTTTTAGTTTACATTATAATTTTTTTTTGCAAATAAGGATTTATCCTGATCAGGAGACAACTGTAAAACCATGTTATTAACTTGTTGTACCACTCATCTTATGTATAGTCTTGTTGACTGTCTGTCCTAAGTCTTTCTTTAGAAACTTAGGTTTTTGTTAACGTGAAGTACCATTTGGTATTAATGGTAATAGTAGCTAATCTGTGTGGTGATGAATTAAGAATGTGTATATACAAACCCTATACCATCCCATTTGGCCAACATAGTATTGTACGCCAAAACCTCCTTTAGAAGGAGAGGCCTATATCTAGCAGTGGACTACTAAAGGCTGTTAATGATGATGAAGATAATGAAGAAACATAATTATTAATTAATAACTTGAGGTACCTCACATGACTGTCTGAACTAAACTGTAAGAAAATCATGTAAACACATTACATAAAATAGATAACTTACACCCAAATACTCAAAATACAAATCTCAATTTAATTCATTTTGTAATCTTTTTCAGGGTACACAATACCTCTGGACAAACGTCTAGCAGCAGACGGCCGGGGTTTACAACAAGTACACTTCAATGAGAACTTTTCTAAACTGGCGGAGGCTCTATACATAGCTGACAGAAAAGCAAGAGAAGCAGTCGAGGCGCGCGCTCAATTAGAAAGGAGATTAGCTCAAAAGGATAAGGAGAAGAAGGAAGAACATTTGAGGATGATGGCGCAGAGGGCTAGAGATCACAGAGCTGGTAACTTGAATTTTTCTGCATAATATCTTTGGAGTGATTTTAATTTAAGAAGCAACATATTTTTAAAAAATGACTCAAAACAGCAAAAATGATTTAAAACTCAACATAGCCTTCCTAGCCTGCTCACATATGCTGATAGATATGCTTATACGAGCTAGCTGAAAACGGCAATCGAATTTTAGTCTTACACCCTTTCAGTGTTAAGGTTCGAGTTCCTTGTTTATTAATGTTCCATGAAATAAGGTTACACCAACAACCAAATGATTATCAATAATAATTATTTTATTTTATAAAAAGGTTATCTTAAAACGATTCCTCTCATTACAGTTTGATCTCTAATAGGGCTGTTTTTAGCATTTCACTGTGTTTTATGTGAGTCCTAACAATAGAACGAATACTTTCATTATGTCTCTCAAATAGTTGTGTCAATCTATTGCAGGCATTCGTGCACCCGATGATGACCAGGACACTGCAGAAATAGACGAGAGTGGCCTCACAGCTGCTGAGAGGGACAAGCTGCGAGCAGAGAGACACAAAGACAGGCAGCGAGAGAGGAACCTTGCCAGAGCTGCGCCTGACAAGAGGTAAATACATGACTAGTAGTTGAAAATAAAGTAGATTAGTGAAAAAATAGCCACGTTTCTGCCCATGCAGGCTCGATCAGAATGAAACCATGGCCTCACTGAAAAGTGGTGTTAAGCATTTTATTTGTTGTTTTGCACAAAAACCGCACACAATGAGTACCGGCCACCTTTCGCCTTCGCCTTCGTTCATATTCGTAACTGAACTTACCTAACCAGTTACAAGAAAAGAATTTTTTTCGTTGTTTGGTAACTAGTTGTGGGAGAAGAATAATTATTCCACTTTTGTAACTATTTGTTAGTTATGAACATGGAATGAGCCCATACTCTTTGTTTAGTCACTGATCACGTGTAACATAAAAAGATATTAATGGCTGACAGTCATAATCAAAACTAACTTCCCTTACTGGAAGCCATCAAAAATGCTAGTCGATTTTGAAAAATCTGCTATAAACGCCATCCAGAAAGTATTTCCAGATACAGATATAAAAGGTTGCTTTTACCACTTATGTCGCAGCCTTTTTAAAAAAGCGAAACAGCTAGGAATCCAGTCAAGAGTTCAAAGGCGGCATGTTGCACGTTGTGTAGGTTTAGCCCGATTACCTTTAAAATATATTAGCTGTGGTTATACGAGTAGTTATATCATGCAGAGGTCACCCAAAACTGATCCAATAACGAAATTTAATTTATACTTCGATCGTTATTGGCTGCAAGATTTAAATTTTATTAAAATATGGTGTTGTAAAGGGGAACAGATAAGAAATAATAACCATTTGAAAATTCAAGAATTAATCGTTTTATCAGGAATAAAAACCCATCCATTGCAAAAGTTTTAGACATTCTAGTTAAGGAAACAAAAATTAAATCAAATAATTCGGCAACCAAAACAACGGAAAAACAACAATTATGATGAAATTGATGCTGAAATCAATGCAACTTTAGACCAGTTTAAAAATAAAGAAATTACAGTCGGACATTGTTCGGAGGAGGAAATTCCATTTATCTATCTAACATTTGTTTCTTTTACTTTAATATGTTGTAATGTTGTTTATTAATCCAATAGGTACTAAAAGGTACCAATAAATGCTAATATCTAATAAATTGTGTAATACATATAAAACGTTTTAAAAATGTTTTCAATAAAGCAGTAGGAATATAACCTCAAAAACACCTTTAGTAACTAAACCAAGATTAGTAACTAAACATATTTGACCATTTTTACAAGATAAAAAAGTAAAAAATCCCTTATACTGCAGGCTTTTTAAGCACTTCATTATATCGGTGTTCTTTTGGTTTTAATTAACTAAACTAATATCTCGGGTTACAAAAGTGGAAATAATTTAATCTACAAATGTGGAATAATAATTCTTCTCTTATAACTGGTTACCAAACAGCGAAAGAAAAATCTTCTCTTATAACTGGTTACGGAAGTCAAGTTACCAAAGTGGAATAATTATTCTTCTCCCACAACTAGTCACCAAACAATGAAAAAAAATTATTTTCTTGTAACTGGTTATGTATGTTCAGTTACGAATATGGACGAAGGCACCATTTCTGGGGGTCTTCTCTTGTCTCTTCAGTTGCAAGTGCCCATGGGCAGCGGTAGTCACTTATCATCAAGTGACCCGTCTGCTCCTTATCTCCTTATTCCATTGAATCTTTCAAGTTTGCTAGGAGTCTTTTTACTACAATGGTTTGACAGTGGGATAGTTAATTATATTGTGAAATCAATGTTCTTTTTTAAATTAGAGGCATCTTACAGCCGTTCATAAAGTAGACAGAGCCCGTTGTATGGTTATTATACACCGAGGATAAACATTCTTGTATATTATATAATACATACATGTATACATATTCGAGATAAGTTACACCCAGGCTTTGAACATATTATTGCACTCATCACAATTATTTACTTGGGAATTGAACCCACAACCTATGCTTTATAAACCCTGGAACAATATAGATTCTTTAACTTAATTTTTTTTAGTTCCGTGAACAATCATCACTAATTTTTTTCATGAACTAGAACTTGTTTTCCTCTCAACAGCAATTTGTTAAAAATACAATATTTATTCAACAAAAATTAACATCCATAAAGAATCTGATTAAGTAATCTTATACTGCAAAGTGAGTTTAAAATGTAATTTGATTGTAATTTCAGATCAAAACTTGTGAAAGATCGCGAGCGGGATATATCAGAACAAATTGCGCTTGGTTTACCAGCCAAGACGAACCAGGGCGGCGAGGCGATGTTTGACCAAAGACTCTTCAATAATAGCAAGGGAATGGATAGTGGTAAGTATTGTATTACTTTATAAGTTTTGCATTACTTAATAACCATTTTTTAAATTTAAAATGCCAGACATGGCCATCTGATCCCTAACTGCACAGCCTGTAACCAGACTGTTGAAAAATATACTTATATATTTAAAAATTAATATAAATAACTCAGACACAGAACAGTCCTTGACTTGACATGATGATTCTCATCACACAATTATTTGTCACCCACAAACCCTGGTGGTGAGAATCACACCCACGAACTCTGGCTTAGCAGTGAGGATCACTTACTACTAGACCAACAGGCTCGTCTCGAACCAATATCAATCGCATGAATGAATGGACGCCAATAAACAATAACGTTTTATCTGACAAGGTATTTTTTTGCATTTCCCATTAATTTGTTTCTATATACTTACTTATTACAATCTCAAACAAGCTACAATCTCTACCTAAAAAAATTAAGTAATCATTAATTGAATTGCAGGTTACGGCGACGATGAAGCATACAATGTTTACGACAAGCCGTGGCGCAACCAAGACAATGTCGGGTCACACATTTACCGACCATCACGGAACGCTGACAAAGACAATTATGGAGGGGACCTCGACGCTATTGCTAATACTCGCAGGTAAGTCTCATTACATCATGAATTCTAGTGAAGATAGATTTTCTTTATCTTCTTACATTTTAAGTCGCTTCATTTGTCAGTCTGTATTCTGTCTGTCTGTTGTGCTAACTCCTCTTATGCCTACTATATATTCTCCATCAATTAGACAAATTTTACAAGTAAGGTTAATATATAAATAGATTAAAACCTAAATTATGTACCTAGAAAAAACAATATTTGGCATCTAAGTTGTAGAATATATATATATAATAATTTTACATTGATTATTAGGCCTAAATACATCCGTGTGATGTCTACTAAAGAAATTTATCACACATTCCGAAGGTCAAAGCATTTTCCCTTGGTATTGGATGATATCTCTATCTTCCTTCACAATTTTATAAAACTAAAGTTAGAAATACATAAGTCTTGGAAGTTGAAAATAATAGAGTAGTATTTCTTTACCTTCTACTACCTACCTTTTCATTAATATTATCTTTCTCCTTTTATGGTCCTTTCTTCAAAAGGCTTACCCAGACCCTACACTGTACTCGCACAGTTTTCTTTAACTTTGTTTACGGACTAAAAAAAAGACACCTCTGTGGATGGTTTCGGCGTTTCTTACCAGAGTGAATATTAGGAAATTCCGACTTATAAAAATATCTGAAAAGATTTACTTACAGAAATTAATATCATTAAGCTTACCTTCAGTGTTCTTACACAAATCGATAATAGCCAACAATTTAGTGTTATTGACGTGTTCACTCAGGTATAAAAAGTCAGTATATTTAACTAACTTTAACTTATGTGTTAACTGTATGGAATTAAGATATAAATAAATAAATAATATAAATAAATAAATATAGATTCCTAGTGCTTAGAACAAAATTGTTCAATGAAACTTAACGGTCCACCGGGTTTAGAATTTAAACCCCACTATTCTAAATCTAATACAACAAAAATGATATATTGTGGTCTAAGTATGTGAGCAGCTCATAACTCAAGCAATACTACTCACTGATTAATAAGTCAATTGGAGAAGTGACTGAGGAGTAAAATTAATACCATTTATTTTGTTATAACGCAAAAATTGCTAATAGATAAAACCTCATTTCAGATTTGTGGCTGACAAAGAATTTGCTGGCACAAGTAGCAGTAACACCCGCTCTGGTCCTGTACAGTTTGAGAAAGATGCTCCATCATCTAGAGATGAACCAGTAGGTTTATTATTAATCATCTATGTGTACAATTAAAATTATTTGCTCTGACTGATTGATCAACGCAGAGTCTAAACCACTGGGGTTACAAACTTGATATTCTGGAAAAGGAGAAAAAAAATAAGGGATGAATGGTTGTATAGTTAGAAACAGAAAATAAAAAAAAATCTCGCAACCGAAGCTACTGGAAGTAGCTTCACACATCCATCAAAAAACAAAACGTTAATCAATTACAGTAGATTGTGTAATCAGCAAAAAAGATTATGATCTTTGGAAGATAATTCTCTGTGTTTCAAAAGACCCATCATAATTGGAATATGAAATCTTTTCTAATTAAGTCTTACCAGGGTGGTATAGTAGCCTATGTCCAGCAGTGGACTAGTAAAGGCTGTGGATGAGGATGGATGCTACACCCAAGTAATTACTACTTCATACTTATGAATATTTCACTGCCTAAACACTTCACTATGCGCATTACACAGCTATACAATAGATATTAATTATTCTCTTGTTACATCTGCAGAGTCGCAACCAACCTGATGCTGATTTTGATCCATTCGGTCTGGATCGGTTCTTGAGCGAAGCCAAACGCGCCGACAAGTCCACGCGCAAACGTGACCATCACGACAGACATGACATGCATAGCAAGAAACGGAGAGACTAGTTTATAGGTAACGGAGTGTTTTATGCTTGGAAAACTAACTTTTACCCAATCTCTGTACCAAATTTCATCTAATTCCGTTCAGACAATATCCATATTCAACTTTCACACTAACATTATAAAGGCTAAAGTATGTGTGTTTGTATGTTTGTTACTTCTTCACGCTGAAACAGACGAATTTTGATAAAATTTGATATTTTTTTTATTTTTATTTTTTATTTTTTTTAGGGATAACAACAGCTGCAATTCTTAACTAGGTAGTAAACTATGATTACATGAGTAGCCAATAAAAGTTATCCACGGTAGATAAGAGTGGATGAATATGCTAACAACAATACATAATATTAAAACTGATTGGTAAACCTTGAAAAGATGGGTGAATAGATGTAAAATATGAAATATAATAAATAACTGAAATAAATAACACATACTAATATATATAAATATGGGAGAAAAATTTAATTGAATAAATACATTAAATTTTTTTATATCATCTAGAAACCTATAAATCCAGCCATTCAGTGCAATGATGTTGACATTTTAGAAAGCCTATGATGATAGTAATTTAAGCGAAACTCGTTTTTTGAAATTATCCTTAGAACCGATGAATATGTCCACACTATTAAAGTGTTCATTATAAGAGTCGAGTAAACGTGATATTACACCATTTCTACCATAATTAGTCGAGTGAAATGAAGTGCAAAATAGTGTAGTGTGTCTAGTGCGTTTCTTGGGTACATTAAACTTAATATTATTTAAAAGCATAGGACAATCGATCCGTCCTCGCAAAATGTCATAGAGTAAACCCATATCCATCAGAATACGCCTTTCCTCGAGAGTTAGTAGATTGTAAATACGACAATTTTCTCTGTAATCAGGAAAGCTGTGACGAAATTTAAAATTAGGGTGATCTATAAACTTTTTCTGGATGCGCTCCAGACTGCCTTTGTGTATCGCATAACAGGGAGACCATATCTGACAACCGTATTCCAGTAAACTACGAACAAAAGCAATATAAACAACACTTAAGCTCAACAAACTCTTGAAAGGTAGGCAAGATCTTAGGACAAAACCGAGATTGCGAAATGATCTGCTGCATATAGCATCAATGTGCTGCCGCATGGACATCTCCGAGTCCAAAAGTATACCCAGGTCTCGCACAACCTTGACCCTCTCGATTGCAACGCCGTTAAAACTGTATTGGTAAATGATAGGATATCTTTTACGGGTAAAGGATATACTTTGACATTTTTTGATGCTAACCGTGATATTATTTTTAGCGTAGTACCTGAATAAAGAGTCGAGATCCTCTTGAAGCAAGACACAGTCAGATAAGGAGTTGATGGATGTGTAAATCTTTTTGTCATCAGCGTAGAGTATGTAATGTGAGTGCTTGATGTGGTAAATTATGTCAAAAATATAGGCGTTATAGAAGAGAGGGCCAAGATGCGATCCCTGGGGAACGCCAGAGGGAATAGATACAAAGTCAGACTTAAACCCACCCAATACAACAGCCTGAGAGCGATTAGTTAGGTACGATTCAACCCACCTAAGTAGGTCACCGTGAATACCTAACGCGTACAGCTTACGTAACAGGATGCCGTGGTCTACACGGTCGAAGGCCTTTTCAAAATCTGTGTGGACCACGTCAACCTGGCCACCATTTTCCATTTCGCCTACCACATAATCTGTGAAACAAGCCAAATTTGAAACCGTGGAACGTCTTTGCATGAATCCGTGCTGAAATTCTGGAATGCCAAGACTAACAACTGGTTAAATATTAATAAAAATTATTTTTTCAAAAACCTTGGCTACACAGTTTAAAATGGAGATAGGGCGATAATTATCTATTTGAGATTTGGAACCTTTCTTGTAAATAGGTATGACAGGATGATATGGAAATAGCTGATACCATGGATTAAATCATACAGTTTTGGTGTTAAAAGGCTACTTTTGGGTACTGGCCAGACTTATTGTGAACTGACATTTTGTTTAAGCCATGGCTATCCTTTAGTGTGTAATACATATTTTACATAAATACTTAAATGTCATCCATTCTCAATTATTTGAATTCAGACTTTTACTTTGACAACACCAAAATTAAAGATTGTGTAATATTGTATTTCACACGGGGAAAAAACAACAAAAGAATGCATACTCAACCTAGGGCTATATATACGCTTTTTGTGGTGATTACCACTGATCGGAAGTTCTACTATAGTCCTGTCCTTAATTCTCGTCAAGTTAACCATTAACGTCATTAACCTTAGTATCTGCTACACATCAAAATTGCTTGTTGGCCCCCTCTTTATTTAATGTTTTTTTTTTGTTTCAGATGTGGATTCTGTACATAGACATCTATAGTTGCTTAAAGCCGTTGAGTAAATGGATTGTACAGACAATGTGTGTAGCATAAGTTCATAGTGTTAACAATATCTAGTTAATAAATAATGTTTTATATTATTTCATTTTATTTAAACTTAATGTACATGTTGTACAAAGGCTTAGACTTAATGCCATGAGGCATTCTCTCCCAGTCGACCTTCGGTGATATAAAAATAAGATGCAGTAGGTGGGAAGATAAAATATTAAATTTTTCACAGTTCATAGTTTGGTAAATAGAGATAAACCTGCATTAGAAATAACTAAAATACATAAAGTAATTATTACATTATAATACTATTTTTATTGATCTTATTCACTTCCTCAATTATCCTATTTATTGTGTTTAATTTGATGAGGGCTGCCTCACTAAGAATTTTTCCAGAGATTTTCAGGATACCTTGATCTTCCATGAAGTACTTAATTTCTTTCCTTTGAAATTCAATTAGAAACAGGGAGTAGGAAACAAACATTTGTACCATATACTCCACCACTTAGTATGCAATATTCAATACATTAAATCCTTTGCCGTCCAGTATTACCTGGTCAGGCGGTCGATCCCTTCAAAGTCAAATATTTTCTGTGTGTTTAGTTTGCAATGAACTAATTCATGATGACTTTTTTTTAAAGTAGGTCAAAAATGGTGAACATTTTTGACTTACTTTAAAAAAAAGCGGTACTTTCCATTGGCCATTCTTTTCTCCGAATCCCTTTTGAAACAGCGCTATGCTGGATGACTTCGTGCTCTTTAGATTTTTTTCGAAGTGTATATAGATATATGTGGTCACTAAGTGACCTGGACAGAAGTTGACAGGGTTGCTTGTTAATATATTTTACAAAAATTGCTATCGCGGGGGCCACTGATGCATTCATCAACTAGTTCATTCAAAAACAGTTTATTTGACTTTGATGGGATCGACTGCCTGATCAGGATGTAACACTGGACGGCAAAGGATTTCATGTATTGAATATTCCATACTAAATGGCGGAGTATATGATACAAATGTTTCGACTCCCTTTACCGTAAAACAGAATGCAGTAGAAGCGACCTTTTTTTTTTTTTTTTAACGTGTTGAAATCCCCTCGGACCGTCACCCCTCCGGGGTTTGCGGCGGGGTGGTGTGTCGGACTCGGACCGACTAAAACCACACGGTGTGCCACTCTGCGCCTGTAACAGGAGGGATCCGGGAACAGCTGTTGTTAAGACATCCGGACCCCTCCTAGCGCCAGCCCGCTCCTGGTGCGGGCTCCGTCTCAATGTTGTTGTTGTTCCTCTCTTTAGGCGACGTCCGGCACACGCGGACGCCGCCCCCTCGCGGCTGGCCAAACTAATGCGGGTGGAGGGGAAACCCACCCCGTCCACCCGCGGCCACACTCAGGGCGGCATGAGGCTGTGGTAGGCGGGCCTCCGCCGCCCGGTTCGCCGGCGGCGGATCGGGTCCGAGTGGAGGTCGTCCTCCCGGGCCCTCTCCGCCGCCTCCTTCCGCGAGATTACTACCTCGCAGAAGGTTGCGACCGCGGTAAAACAACTGTCGCTACCGGCCATGGATCGTACTACGGCCGGTAGCGAGAGATCCACTCCGATGACTGCAGTGAGGGCCTGGCGCTGCGCCGCCCATGCGGGGCAGACCGCCAGCGTGTGCTGGGCCGAGTCCTCACTGCAGTCGCAGTGGTGGCAGGCGGGATTCAGTTCCCTCCTAGCGACCGAGTGCAGGTACTTTCCGAAGCAACCGTGCCCGGAAAGCACCTGCGTCAGCCGGAAGGAAAGGGTCCCGTGCTGCCGCCCCGCCCACTCGGCGATGACCGGCTGGAGAGCCTCCACGGCGGCGAAGCCAGCGCGTGGAGTCTCCAGCCGGAACGACCAACGAGCCATCGTGGCTCGGCGAGCGGCTTCGCGCCACTCGCGCACATCCTCGGGCGGAGGGCGAAATCCGCTATCCGCCCGGTAGTCAGCCACTCGCCGATAAACTTCGGCGAGCACTTCCGCCTCCAAATCCCACGGGGGAGTTCCGGCCAACGCGCACACCACCTCCGTCGAAACGGTGCGGTAACCGCGTATGGCTCTGACCGCCATTACCCTCTGAGGGCGCCAGAGGCGTACCCTATTCTGGGCGGTCAGAGCCCCCGCCCACACCGGTGCACCGTACAGTGCCATTGACCGGACAACCCCCGTGTACAGCCGTCTTGTCGCGACGCTGGGTCCACCCATGTTGGGCAAAAGTCGCCCTAGGGCAGACGCAGCGCCGACCAGCTTTGGAGCAAGCTGTCGGAAGTGCTCGTCGAAGAGCCACCTCCCGTCGAGGATCAGGCCCAGATATTTCATCTGGGCCCGAACCGGTACGAGGACCGAGTTGACCACTATTGAGGCGCCAGGGGGTGGACCACGACGGGGCCCATGAAATAACAGGGCCTCCGTCTTATCTAGGGCCACCCGTAAGCCCAGCGCCTCAATGTGCCCGACCACCAGGGAGACTCCCCCTGTGGCCAGGCGCGCCGCCTCTTGGAAGTTTGCCCCCCGGGCTGTCACGAGGGTATCGTCTGCGTAACAGATTACACCCAGCCCGGAGGGGAAATCGGCGCGGAGGGCCCAGTCGTACCCTATGTTCCACAAGAGGGGTCAGTAGAAGCGACCTGCCTTAACCTAGAATACACCTTGAGCTTTTCTAACGGAGCCTCTATATTATCTAACAAACCTTCAAGAAAAGAACATATTCGCACTTGCTCAGTGTCTCTGCACTATACTCTGTGGTCTCTGTTGAGTTAAGGTGAAGGTTTTCTACGTATTGTATAGACGTGTTGAGTTCATAAATCTTTCTGTGCTTGCTGTTAGGGATGGTTTTTTCTTTGAAAATTAGTGCCCTCAGTCTGACAGATAATCCGTTATCTCTTAATACTTCATTAATGGATGTGTCAGATGCGGACAAAATAATGAAGTATTAAGTATGTAAAGGGACGCTTTCCATTTTTTTTATATAAATATATTCAAAGTAGTGTTTTGTACTCTTCTGAAAATCGTAAGTTCACGCAGTAGCAGACAGATGGCGTGTACATATTTGTTGTAATTGCCCTAGCATAGATGCCGCTGCTATAACAACACAAGATGTGCGTGATAGGGTAAACGTGAATTAAAATAAGTTTCTAACTTATTCGACTATATAGATCTATGTATTGAAATTTCATCTTCATAGGTTAAGTAAGTTTCGCGATAGACGCAGACAGTTTATTGTTCATAACAATTTATCGCTCTTTAAAGGCGTCTGACTCGAGACTACCATCATACTTTGTATTTGGCAACGAATGCCCTGACTTCTAATATGATCCTTTATATAATAAAAGGAGAGGCCTATGTCCAGCAGTGGACTATCATAGGCTGTTGATGATTATGTGATATAATATAATATACCTTTGCGTCTTTGAACTTGACGTTTTACTTTGACAAAAGTAGGATTTTTTTACGTTACGTTTGGGTACATAATCAGACATTCAGCTTGTATAAAATATAAGTAATAACTTGACGTCATACAGCCAAACTAAGCAGGGCCAGTAGGTACTGTGGTAACCAGAATGCTAATAAACACACTTGTATATTTTAAATAGGTACAGACATCGACAAATTACACCTTCCTTATCATTTATTTTTTGTCATTCAACTTAGAGCATTGCTCAAGTCATTCAAACATACACTCAGGCCTTATTAGTTTCCGGGGTAGACACAAAAGAATGCCATTTGCTACGAATCACGATCTTGACATACAACCGGCTCCTCTTCCTCATTCACCGGGCTTTCATGCACGAGGCTCTTGTTCAGTACTGTCAATGGGCCTCACGCTCGGCGGGCCTTCAATTAATAATTTCTTTCACTGAACTAATAGGCCAGTCAAGGTCAAATGACAAAGCTCTAACAACCGTGGGCTCTTATAATGGTTTACTTTGCTTATCACTACTTTTTTTATTTAAAAAAGACAACTCCCGCATTAGGAATATATCCTGTGTCGCGGGGGACTTTACAAACATACATGAAACGGACACAAAGAACATCCAGACTCAGAACAACAATTTGTGGATCACACTAGTGTTTGTTATCATAGTTATTCCCTACTTGTTTTAGAATTTTCTTATTTGCAGTCATGGACGTATAAAAAAAGTCGGACGGAACTCTCGCCAACAGAAAACTGAGGCACCGTAATGGCTTTCATATTGAACAAATTACTCTGTGACTCTGTGGTAATGGCGGCACCTCTGTGTATGTAAATGAATGTTGGGGTTGCCAAGTTACCCAAATTTCTGCCCTAAAAACACAGTCAATAAATTAAAAATATTTTATTTGTTCGAAATTCTACTGTCTAAATGCTGTCATTTCTTTTTATAATAATGTATTTTACTTTGAGAGGGTCTTGAAATTGCCTCTAATTTCGAGGTAAAACCGCGAATCGTTAAATATTTTTCTGCCACATATTTAATAAGACTTATTTTGTGTTCTATTCCGACGAAAGTATATTTAGATTCTAAGTTTAAAAATGTTTTCATTGCCAATAAAATTTTCTAGAACTTTTGTGAGAATATTTTTTGTGTTGTCTTTATTTTCACCATTACAATTTCTAATTATTTGAATCATATCATTTCTCCATACTACTTTTCCTTAGAATATCATTTCTCCATACTACTTTTCCTTAGAAAATTTAGTAAACAAATATGAAATAGTATACCTAGTAGCAACTTTTAAATAAATAACCTGAATAAATTGATTTTAAGACCAACCAAAAATTTCCTTTGTTTCGGGTAATTTGCACACGTGAAAATTGGCAACACTGGGCTTAATGAATTCTTTTGTTCTAGCGAATGCTGATTAATTTTAATGTATAAAATCTAGAATTAAGTGATTGAATTATTCATTTACCTATGAAACGTGATGCCTGGATTATCTTTCTTTGGGACAGTACGGTTTTTACATTACATAATTCACCACGCAAAACATGTTGTATTTTTATATGTTTTCGCCGCGTAATGCGTCTCGCTGATGTTTGCCAGCGCACTGGCCGACTATGAGTGACACAGTTTTTTGTTAGCGAGACTCTGTCTGACTTGTAGGTACCTCATCGTCATATTATTTAATCAGATTCATTTATTTTTTAAATGTATAATGTAAAAGATTTGAAAGAAGTCAATGATTACAGAAAACATATTAATAGCTGCGCTTGACGATATTTGACACAGTTAAGTTGGAATTAAATACTTTGGAACTCTCAAACATCTTAAGAACGACTACGTTCTTTGCCTAAATTACCTGTATGTTTATACTGCAAGTACCTTCGGCTAGGTGCTTTTAAACCTTTTTATTTTAATAGAATCATTTTTGTCTGCCATCTATTTAAACTTATTTGACAAACAAGTAGATAAACGATTGCTGTTGACCATAGACGTCTAAATGCCTCTCCCTCATACTTATTTTAGAAAAATCATACTTAATCGTCGACCCCAGGTGCATTTAATAAACCATCAACTTCATACGCCTCGTTATTAGTCACTTTTACAAATAATGCGACGCTCGAAGCTGGTATGAAGGTAACTCGCAATAACAATAGTAGGGTCGGATCGTTTGCAGCTGCCGTGCGGCTCAGGTATAAAGTACTATAAAACATTTCATTAACATTTCGAATTGCGGTCTCAATTTACAGTATATTTTAATATAAAATAAATATTTGCCTATTTTGTCTACCCAAGAGTTACTTAGACTACGTACGTACGGCCTTGCATTGTAATGTTGAACTACCCGAAATAAAAATAAAAAATACAAGTTGGAATATTGGCATTGCAGAAAGGATACAATACAATAATTTGTTCTTAAGGAATTGTTCAATATTATGATCCCGACTACTTTATATTTCCTTATTTTGTAGCTCATCACTGACACAAGTTTGTAGGAAAAAGTGCATCATCAACAGCCTTTAATAGTCCACTGCTGGACATAGGCCTCTCCTTATAAAGAAGGTTTAGGCCTACTTTAAAACGCTGGCCAGACGGGTTGGTGTAGGGTCTGTGTCAAGTTTTCCTTCTCTTTGCAGTGCTGTTGTCCTGCGTAGTTGGCTCCTAGTTTGCTCTTACGACACCCACGGGATGAATAGAGGTGGTGACACTTTAAAAGAAGCTTCCCTCTCCACTACTATGTATCGAGGTCTATTATTTATTCAGTGATCAGGATTGTTAAAGAGCCGAGGTAATTCTATTATTCAAAATAACTGAAAAACGTCCCTTATCTAAACTACATTTTCTGAAAAACGATTTCTTTAAATATATTTATAAATTGTGAATGAATAGTGAAACTAGCTAAATAGGCAGTAGGTTATTTATTTTAGCAGTGAAATAAAACAAAAAATATTTAGAGCATATTTTAATGAAGTAACAATATCTTTTATGTAACATACATATAATGAAAAAACACGCAAATTATTACGAATTACTTTTTGTACGCTAACCAAATAGTATGAAACACACTGGTGCTAGACATCGGTGTATAAACCCTACCTTAAAAATTAAAACGAAATTATTGTGATCCTTCATATAAAAAAATAAATATATTATGCGTGCTTGGTTGAATATAAGGCCCAGTTTCCAACACCCTTGGAGGATTAAAATATAATATTAAGTTTTAAAAGTAGAAAAGGTTTTAGGCGGTCTACACCCCATTTTATCCCACATAATTACGTATCCATGTATAGATTTAGTTCTATTAACAAATATACCGAATTATTCGGCATAGACAATCTTTGTATAGCTTAACTTTTTTTTAAATATCATCCAAGGGTCTGGCAAGCGTACATTACAAGCGGTCTACTTCAACTTGAGAATGGTGTTCCGCAATTTGTCGACGTTGGCGCCGGAGAACTCTTCGATTTTCTTACTGTTCTTTATGAAGACGAAGGTGGGCATGGAGTTGATGTTGTATTCAGTGGCGATGTCCTCGCATTCGTCAACATCGACCTGAAAAAAAGACAAAAAGTATTAAAATTTCTTCATTTAAGTTTGGTGTATGGGAGGTTCTTTATGGTGTAGGGGGGAAAAGAGCAGATGGGTCACCAGACAGTGACTACCACCGCCAATCAGGGCCGGATTAACCATAAGGCAGAATAGGCGACTGCCTAAGGGCCCCGCATCGGTTAGGGGCCACGCTTTTGCTGTTAGTTCCTGAAGAGTTATGCATCAGTCAAGCGATGCTGCTGATGCACTCACAACCCTCTATCGACTTACTGAGCTGAATCATCAAAAATAAGGGCCCCCTGATTGCATTGCCTAAGAGTCTCGACATGGCTAATCCGGCCCTGCCGCCAATAAAACTGCAACTCAAGAGTGACAGGTCAAATTTAGATGGGCAAATTGGAAATTTATTGATAAGAAAGATTCACTAATCTATAGTTCGTTGAGTGTGTTCATGCAGTGAGTCATCACTGCAACGACTCACTGCACTGCAACTGCACTAAAGGAGTATTCACCGCGGTGTTAAAAGTCAAATAAATTATAGTTTTAAAGATTAAGTTTCAGGTATTTATAAAAATACACTTAATTAGTAATGATTTGATTGGTTACGGGGCGTGGCTAGTCCAGCGGACAATGACGATTCACTGCATCCTTAACGCAAACGAACTATAGTCAAGAAGGAATGACACTGGTAGGAAAGGGATATTGATTTGCAGGTAGATTGGGTAGTGTCAGCAATAGCTTGAGTAGTTCAGGGTCAGTCGAACTCAATTAGCTGTTGCCGAAGAGTCAGAACTCTCTAATCAAAAGAGTCCAATAAGGTGGGTTCCTGGTTTAAAATAAATTATTTCGCCTGCAAATGACATCTTAAAGTACAGGTCGAATTCTCCTTTATTATCAAATAGGTTCCTCAAGTATCAAAGTATGTCTATACCAAATCTCATCTAAATCGGTACACCGGTTATTAATACCCCCTATGATTTATTGGATACTACCCCCATTTATTGGATAATATGATGCAACGTTTATTGATACTCCATACAAACTTCTATTCCCCTTTTCACCGCTTTAAAGGATGATTTCTGGGATAAAAACTTTACTATGTCCATTCCCGGAACTCGGACTATCTCTATACCAAATTTCATCTAAATCGGTTCAGCGGCTTAAGTGTTAAGAGGTAACAGACAGACAGATCGTGCTCATTACATAAGTATCTGTCATGGATGTGAATCGAACCCACGACCTCTGGCTTAGAAGCCAGGATTACTAGCCAATAGACCAACAGGTCTGTCCGTACACACCCCTAATGGGTATGTATTTCATGTAACCAAATGCCTGTTTGACTCATTAGTGAAATTGCATCACATCACCCAATTAGAATGTTATAACTATATGATAACCCTATATTAAATACTTTTTACACGACACGACACTCATTTCCTAATGAAAAAAAAAATATAAATAAAAATAGTACAAGTATTTACGTTAGTTGTTGAATGATATAGTTTTTAATTTCGTTGAATTTGTATGTGTGTGTACCTATTTCGTCTCTATTTATACATACGTACGTATGTATATGTGCGTTTTTCCACGCTTTATATTAGCTTCACTTGTATGTTTGTAACCGACTCATTTTGACTGACTTTAAACGGTCAGAATTCGTTCAAACTTTGTAGATATATCGAGGACCGATGACAATACACTCATTTAAAAAAAAAGCGTGTTTTTTAGTTTTTTAAAACTTTTTTTTTTTATTAACTGACCACAAAAAGTTGCGTATTAGTGAAATTTTATGTCAGTTTGTTTATCGGCCTTAAGCGACTAATATGGCGTTCGTAGTCATAAACCGAACAGTGAATCAAGCAGATGCATAAACTCTTTATGTCATATCTAAATTAACTTTCTATGTATTAGTAATAATATATATAGGCATTCAGAATGACGCATGAACAGTTGTGTCAATGTGCAAGTTATTGGCAACGTCCGGTATGATCAATATTAAATTGCAGCTATCTTTAGTTTTCTTAGGAATAACATCTGAAGGAATAATGTTGGTATAGAAATATGCACCGAATGGTCTAGAATTTAAGGGTACATTGACAAATATTTGATTAACTTTGAATCACCCACGTGAATGCTCCTAGATACATAAGGATAGAATTACAGACTACAAGAATACATTTTGTCACAATTAATATCTTAAACGATATAACAACATTTTCGGACGTCTCACACATAACGCCATCTACTTTCAAACTAAACAGAGCTGGTATTGAGGGCTAGATTGTCTGATAGAATACTTATACTTAACCTTTTTTGTTATACATAGAAAGCATTTGCAGATCATACAACATTTGATTAAGAATACAGTGTCACCACCCCTAGTTATCCCGTGGGTGTCGTAAGAGCCGACTAAAGAAGCAAACTCTGCAGGACAACAGCACTGCAATAAGAAGGAAAATTTGAAACAAACCCTATACCAACCCGCCTGGCCAGCGTTTTATAGAAGGCCAAAACCTCTATTGTAAGGAGAGGCCTATGTCCAGAAGTGTACTGTTAGGGGGCTGTTGATCGGGGAATCGAACTTGAGACCTCAGCACAGCAGTCGCTACCACTGCCCACCCAGGCAGTCACAGTCAGTCAGTTTAATTCATTATAACATGGAGAAAAATTTTATTCTCCATGCCTAAACTTTCAATTGGTAGGCATGGTATTTTTTCTTCAAATATAAACGGGACTGAAAGGAAAGTACACTCTCCCAAAATAAAAAAAATATTTTTTCTAATCGGTTCAGAAATATCCGAGTTCTGAGGCAACAAATATTAGATAAACACTCCCAACCAAAAAAGAAGTTCCAAGTCCATGAAAAATAAAAACGCTCCGGTTTATTTCTCGATCACCCCGCAACTGACGTTCTAGAAACTAGTACAATCAATCGAGACCTAAGGAAGCCTTGTACATACCTACAGATACTATACGAACATAGTTTGTTACTAGACATAATGACGCATTAGTGAGTAAACCGCTCTGTTATGGTGAAACGTTTCATAAATTCTTTAAACACAGGTAATTGGAGTTGCACATGGCTGAGGCATTGATAAATTATTTTTTTATACAGTTGTTAATGCGTCATACATAAATAAATATTGTCATAGGTCTACTATTGCCTTCTCATTCTTTCATATTGAACTCCAAAAAATTCCCATCTAATTAGTGCCCGGTTGATGGCAGTTACCTTACTTAAGTGGGATTAAAATTATAGTCAGCAAAACTTGGACGTTTAATGGGTCTATTCTTACTATGTGTCACCATCATCAATCATTATCAACAGCCTTTAATACTTCACTACTGGACATAGGCCTCTCCTTAGAAAGGAGGTGTTGGCCTACTATACCTACCACGCTGGCCAGACGGGTATAGGGTTTGTTTCAAGTCTTCCTTTTCTTTGCAGTGCTGTTGTCCTGCGTAATTTGCTCCCTTAGTCGGCTCATACGACACCCAGGGGATGAATAGGTGGTGACACGTATTCTTAATCCGTCACCACACGGATTTTACCATGTGTACTAAACAGGTATTTCCCTATGAGAACACACAAATATCTTCCCTATGAAGTTTATCGGTTACAGGAAATACCCCTTATTAATTTTACCCGCTTCATGGAATCCCCCCATAGAGTGTCCTTGTTTTAGATATATATATATATTAGACTTGCAACGAATATTCGGTTACTATTCGATATTCGGCCTATTCGGCTGCTTTTATTATATTCGGCCGAATACCGAATATCTACATATTATTCGGCCGAATACCGAATACTTAAATAATATATTTTGTCATTGAGAAATAATTGGTAAAACGAAAAATTAAAATCGATTGATTACGTATATATTCATATATTCATTTCTGTTATAATCATTTAAGTAGTCATTGGTGCATAACACAGGTACATAATCATCTTCTGAATAGGAAAAATGGAGGATTCTATGTATTTGAATTTTTGTGGTAATCAAAATTTAGAAGGATAAGGTTCTCATTTCTTTTATAATCATTTATTAAGTAGTCATTGGTACATAAAACAGTCTAATATATATACATATATTTACCTTTTCATGGAATTATCAATGACATTTTCGTTCATATACTGATTATTGAGGAAACTACTTTATGCTGTGTGTTGTACGTCAATATGATACTATCTTGGCACGTATACAAACCAAAGCAATAAATGTTATCATGTATTTGAAAACACGCTTATATGTTATAGTATTAGGGTTGCCAGATGGCCGGGAAATCTGGGAATGTCCCGGAATTTTTTTATGTAACGGGTCCAGTAATTAGGGTTTGTTGTCCCGGCAATTAGAATTGTATATGATGGTAACCCTATATAGTATACATATTACACGAAACACATTACCTAATCAAAAATAATAATAATAAAAGAGTATTACTTTGGTTGTTTTTTAAAATACTATAATGTTTTTTAAAAGAAAATTATTTACGTTGCTCTTATACAAATGTTTCTACAGTATCAAAGATTTTTTTGACGATAATAAATTGTGACATAGTAATAATGCATGATAATGTTGTACCTGGATAAAAAAAAAAAACTCTACCAACATTTTGTTCACCAGACAATGGTAGAATGTGGCTAGCATCTAAAATGTAACTACTAATAACTCTGTATACCCATATTCTGACAAATAAATATATTATTATAATAAGGCCCGCCCTTTGTACATTACATGTCTGATATTTTTATGTACTTGTAAAATGTATAATACTTGTAAAATGTGTGCAAATAAAGAGTTATCTATCATTCTATTATTATTGAATTATATGTACCTATTTTTTCTCTATTTATCAGACGTACGTATGTATATGTGCGTTTTTATATGATAAGAGTTATATGATTACGTATTTCATATTCTTTAGAAATAAAAACAAAGATCTTATTTTGTGTAAAGACTTCAAGTACACGTACTGTGTGGAAAGAGGGCTTAAGGATA